AGCACACTAAATATAACACGCAGTGTGATTGAAGTCCTTCGATAAGGTCATGATGGGATTTTGCCACCCTTTCAAGTTCGAATGTTCTAGCACGCGATACTGTATACCGTCAATGTGGCGTACTTGTGACTACATGGCGGAAAAATACCATTTCTCCTCCCCATCAGTAGCGCAACAGACAGGAGATCACCCCGCCCGAAATCCTTTTTTGGCCGGCCGCCTCCTTTTTCGGCACGGGCGAATGCAATATTTTCAGCAAAACCCATAAAGCTACTATTGTTTTCTGGACGATGTGTAATTGGTCTTAAGACAAGACACGGAAGAACAGAAGAAAATCTGCTTCACCTCGATGGGATTACTCTGGACATTGACGACCGAGCCCTAGTTCGAGTTACTTGTGGTTTCGTCCGGCTGCCGTACATTCCTTCATGCCTCTGAGCAAATTGAACCTCTCAAGCCCTGACTTCGTGTGGGTTTTCAGGCTCGACATACTGGTTTATGCGGACATGAACTCCGAGCCGATTTCCCACTTTCTAGGGTACTCTCGCCTAGCGAGGGTGCAGGCCGTTTTCTGGGGCAACCCCATCACCACCGGTGAGAGCGCGAAACGCAGAGTAAAATTACTATAGGTTGGTCTGAATCTGTGAATCTTGCGAGATTCTAACTCGGCTGTGTTCGATGGGCCAAAACAAAACTGAAAACGGTTTCAGAACAGGTTGACATTAGTCATTCTTGTTCGCGGGTACCTTCAACCTGGGCTCGTTTTTGGTTGTCACACAACAATGCCTGAAGACACCCCAGAATTAGACAGCGAAGCCCGAATCGTCGGAATGCTTGGTGCGTGCGCCGATAGATCTGTCCGTACTGAAAATAAAAACCCAGCGGGCGAACATGCCTGCGTTGAAATTAAGTGGTTCAAACCGCTGAATACGGGAACACAACTATAGACACCGAGAATATACGTGCTTAAAAATAGCTCGCCAGTTGTTGTATGCTGTTTTACCACAGAGACGTCCAGAAAATATCCAAGGCCATTGGTTTTTGAAGAAACATTTGAAAGTTATTTGTTCTACGAACTGACTGAATACGTCAAATGCATTCTCTACAGAGCAGTGGATATCTCGCTCCACCTACTCGGGCAACCTTGAGTGTCTGAACGCGATAGATGTACACACTGCACAAATTACCGCGAGCGATTCCACCGCAGTTTCCGATGCATGCATGCCTTCGTTCCGTTCGTCCTGTGGGCAATGTCATGTGTCCCCTCTTGGCTTTCCAGGGAACCCTTCCATAGACTATTTCGTATCTGCCGAGGTGATGGAAGGACAACACCGAACAGCGCTCTCTGACAAAGACGAACCCTACTCAGAGCAGGTGCGATCAATAACGTCTGAGGGAAGCCAAGACGTTTTCGCTCCAGATACCTACGCAGAAGAGTAGTCTTGGTACTCCCGATTAGTAAGAATAGGCTGTGGTTCGAGCCACGGACAGCGAATCGAACACATTCGTAGGGCGGATTTCCCTGACGGTATGCATGAGTTGCTCAAGGGAAAACATCCTGTGGTGTGTGTGTTGTCCCCAAGGTGGTTTTGCTAGGAGGGCAGGGCATCTGGTACGCGCGGCCATTGGCGCATGATCTGCCATCAGGAATGAGCGACCCAACATCACGAGAGGCAGAAGAAACGAAGGTCGCTTTGCGCCGGAAGCTCAAGTCCAAACTGGGCGTGGAGGAGGACAGGTGGGCATGCGTAAAACCATGCTATTTTTGAGGTGATATTTGCTCTGCTCCTACGCAAGGGGTGGACATGGTCGTTCAGAGAGAAGTGGAGTTGGTGCATGCTGATGTTCGGACCTCTGTCGAACTATTCAGTAGTTAGGGTCGTGGAAAATGTTATCTTGCAGAAACCAACACTTGAGATAGTTACCGTAGGATGGCTACCAAACGGCGACATAGTCTGGGACAAGTTGAACGAAAGTCTCGTTCAACGTCAAGTGCTGCGACGTCTGAAATGCGAACATTGTGTCTGTCCGCGCTGTCATTCCTGACTATGACCAAGTCGCCTAATCTATGCTATGTGTTGTCTGTGGGAGCGACAGTGTTACATTGACAGAATGTACGTGCCTACCTATGTTGTCTGGTACACTTTTCGGCCCTATTTTCCCGTTGAACCTAAAGGTGCCCAGCCCCCTCCCTTGCGCCCAACAAACCTTAGCACCTATCCGCTTCTATGTTCTTCGTTGTTTCGGCTGTCGCGGGATTCAGCGTGATTTTCATGTGCTCCCAGAGTCTGTTCAAGCTCAAGCCAGACTTCGACCTGGTCTTGAGGGACATTCTCCTGGCTTTCAACATCAATCGAAACAACGAGCAGGTGGGAGCTGGCTTTTATCTTTCTCCCTGTCTCTCACACGATTAGGTGATCTGCTGATTCCTCGGTGTGTGTCTTGACTTCGACCGAAGCGACTCACTAATGCGTCGACAGGTTTACATAATCTAACGAATGCATTAAATGTGCAACAACGGACAGATCCTCAACGGGGAACAAGAAAATAAAAGTAAAGCCTACTTGGTGCTCACCGAAGGACGTCGGAAGCTGTGGACAGAGGCGTTCTGGCGAAGGCTGAGCAGCTCCGTGCCGGAAGTCCTCCCTCAGGTGGATAATGGTTGCCCATCACCAACACGGTCCACCAAGTATCGGTTCAAGCAACATTATTTTCGTTTCCAGTTGGAGCCGATGTACACCATTCATCCTACCGACCAATTTGAGTTGGTTTTGATGTCGATAGCGGGTCAACGTCGAACCAACAGGTAGGGCATCGACTTAAGTTTGCCGAGGAATAAAGTTCAATATATCCGAGAAAAAACAATCAGGATTGTGTCCACGATGTGCGGGCTTGGTACTGCCGCAAGCTCGTACTGAGCAAACGCAAAAGTGCATCCATGCACCAGCGGTTCGCATAAGGCGACCGTACGGTGACTGGAATCAAGGACATCAACGGTTAAGGTCCCGAATTGTGTTACCGTAGCGGAACAGCTGAACGCAGGGGTGTTACTGAGGAAATGATTTGCGCTGATTGTCAAGACCCTCAGAAGTACTGCGTGTGAAATCGTCCTAGTTCCAGTTTGGAGCGCAAACACCATTTGCCAAGAATCTCGGCCGATGGTCTTCTCATGTCTTTGTTACGTCCGGCGGCCACCAACGGCCGTGGCCGTGGAACGCAGAACCAGATTTGCCAAGGAAGTTTTGTTATGCTCCAAGCAAGCTCGTGAATCTGTCTTGAATGATCGGCCCCTGGAATTAATGTTGTTCCATTGCCCACTCTATACTTGTCTAGTTTCCCAACGAATGCGAAACTCCCGCAAAACGCGGTAGCGAGTCGGTCAATTATCAAGTGACCAAGTCCCACAACATGTCTCCCAAACGGTTCCCTGGCCACAAACGAAAGAGGCATGAGATCATACGGCGCAGGAATCTCACAAGGCAATATAAACGGCACGCGAAGTAGCAGCGAGTTGGAAACCATGTTTTCCTCCTCCACCCCCGGCGTATGTCACATACTCGCGCTGCTAGGTGAAGATGCTGCCACGGATGTCGGCTGGAACGGAGTTCCGCACCTTTCTGGCATCGGCGGATGTTATTCTCCACCCCTTCCCGTTCGGAGGTTCGAAAACGGCGGCGGATGGGCTTGCGTTGGGTGAGAAACATTTTCTGGACTTTGGGGAACGCGAAGTTTCTTCTGAGGTCTTGCTTTCTGTCACAGGGGACTTTGTAGGCGCAGACACAGCGTAAGTGCCAAGAAGACTTGTGTAATGTTGTGTGTTATGTGTTTGTTGCATCATGGGTTTGGAATACTCTGGCATACGACGCTAGAGTAGCGCCAAGACCTGTCGCATGCCTGTTGTGCTGTTGTTGATACTTGCGAGATCGTTGAACGCTGCCGGCACTCGTCACAGTGTCGCACCTCTTGTCGCATAGGGTACCTGAGCATATCCCCGATCCTGATTTTGATTCGGTGTTTCCGTAGGGGTGCCGGTGGTGGCTATGGAGGGAGACGCCCTGCCAGGTCGGATGGCCTTCAGCTTGTACAAGACGATGGGTCTGGAACGACCAGGGGATGAGGGATGCTGCATCGCGAGGAGTAGAGACAGGTGATTGCATCGATACACCATGTGGACCTGCCGTTTATCATGCACGACGGCACGTGAGGCATGTCTTTGAAAGTAGGAATGTCGCATTCAATTGGCAGAGGCAGAAAATGCGAGCGCCTGACCCCTCCATTCTCTGGACCTCCAATACCGACGGGCGGGAACAGGCCAAGCACTGCAGGGAATGCTGTAGCCCAGGAAACAAAACGAACCATGCATGTTAGCGCAATTTGCACGCCGCAGCCACCCGGAGCTCTTCTTTTAGAATTAGGAGAAGAGACACGGACACAGCACGCCAAACCTTGGCATAAAGCCCGTCTCCCTTGTCTCGCCTCACCCTACGTTTCCTATGACGTCAGCTACGTGGAGTTGGCCGTCCGACTCGGTCGAGACACGGAGTATCGTCGATGGGCTGGGAATCTCATTGGTGAACGCTCGTCGGCCCTGTGGGAGAGGAGGGACGTGCTGCTGGAATGGGCCAGGTTTCTCTCAAAGGCCGGCGGGCGCGATTCGCCAACAACGGAAGAGGTGGTACATACGTAGCGGGTGCTGGTTTGTCTAGGTGGTTGGCCATTGGGTTTGGCACAGTATTTCATGGAAAGAGAACCGGATTTCAAAGTGCCAATCAGGTTTCCTGTTCTGGGTGGTGATAGAACAGATGATTGACGGCATATCAGATTGGTCTGAACAAGGATGGGGATAGCGAGGGCTTTCCGAAAGCAAAAATCGGTATCCCTCTTCTGTTAACACGTAGATTTGACGAAACTGTCGGGTACTGATGATTTGTACCCACCGATACATTCCGCTGGAACGCGCCTATCTCATGGACACCTGATCCAATTTTCGCGTGCTACAAATGCAGGTCAATCTTGAACATGGAACAGACCTCCCCCTGCCACCGCCGAAGCCGTTTGTTGGACGACAACAACAGCAACAGCACAACCACCAACAACGAGAAGAATCGCAGCAACATCACCGAAATCTTCATCTCCCGCCTTCCGATCAACCGGTGGGACACAATTCCTTCCACCGGCCGACGGAAGTCAGGGTGCCCCCGCGAGACGTCTCTGACACCCCTCGGAAACACGATAGCACCGCCAGTAGCGGCAGTCGAACTGAGGAAGACGACTGCCAAGAACACAACGACGGTTACACCGATGAAAACGACGGCACCGGGCATGCGAATGGCAGCGAAATTTCGATCAGAAAAATCGCCAACAGCGACGCCACCACAGCAGGAGGAGGAAGCAACACCAGTGACACACGTAGCGGGTCTGCGGTCGAAGCCACTGACAGGGGCTTGGCGGTTGGAATGGCAGCGGGTGTGGAGATCGACAATCGCGTCGATGCTTGGACGGGCACGGACGAGGACGAGGGCGATCAACACGAACACGTGCAACTTATTTCCCACCTTCTGGAAAGGTTTGAGGTGCTCTACAGGCAGAGCCGGCTCGAAGAAGCCGCAGTCACCTCGCAACAGGCGCTTCGCCTCATGGAGGAAATGAGGAGCAAGAGGAGAGAGAAAGTCGCCGCAGCCGCCCCTACGGAACACAAGAGCGCGGAAAATATGGCTGTCCGGGCAGAAATACCAGACAATGGCGGGGCGAACGAGAATATGTCCGGCTGGGTAGCAGACGACAAGGAACGGGTTGTCAACAATGAGGGCGGGAGTGGGTGGGGGGAATCAAGGAGACTCCCAGAGGAAATTGTGAATCGTGAGCACGTCAGCGTAAGCTCTGGGGGCGAGCGAGGTTCTGACGAAATTGTGCGCTTAGAGGTGGAGAAAGCGTCGGAGAAAGCGTCGGCGGAAGCATCGGTCATTGCCCGCGTGATGAACGACCTAGGGTGTACGCTTCAACAGGTGAACATAAATGTTTTTTTCTTCTTGATTTCATGATGGCTGCGGTATGGTTCCGCAAGTTATTGAGTCCTACGCCGCGGTTCTAATAGCCTGCAACGGGTCGTGCTACGCTTCACCTTGATCGTCTGCACAGCTGTGGCGCTTGGACGAGGCGGAGTCAATGCTCCGGCGTGCTATCGAGAACTGGCCTGGCCATCACTCTGCAATGACTTCCCTTGGCGTGACCCTGCAAGCCAAGGATCAGGTTACTCGTCCGAACTCTAGATCGTGCTTGGATTTCTGTTATACCCCTTATCATTGAAACATCGAAGCACAGCAGTGCATGGAAGAGATCGTGCTTGGATTTCTGTTATGCCCCTCATCATTGAAACATCGAAGCACAGCAGTGCATGGAACGCAGAGGCTTGAGATCCACGCTGATGGAGATATGATGGAGATGGCCAAGTCGTCGTTCACGTTCTCCGTATCAAGCGTCCCGAGCTAGCGTCTAGTAGCGTGGGAGCTCTCCTGCGGCCTTGAAACGAGGGTTTGTTCATGATGTCGTGATTGGAGCACGACGTACACCAGATCAAATTGATTTTATTGTTCAAGCCAACCGAACCATGTTAATCTCACACTTAACCGTCTGTGCGCGACTTCTCCTTAGCCTACTGCCTCAGCACCCCCTGGAACTCAGTCAGGGTTGACGTCTTGTCCTCTCCCAAACGCGTACAGTTCCAGTTATCAGTAGTCGCACATTGGCATTTGGCTTTGACATCAACGTTGTTGTTGATACAACTGCATTGACTCTGCGCTGCAGCTGGAAGAGGCGGAGGTGTGGCTCCGTGAGGCGCTACGGCTATCCCCGTTAGACCAGAGAGACCTAGCCCTTGCCAGTCTGGTGCAGCTCATCCAAGGAGGGAGCGGCCGGCGTAAAGAAGCCGTCGACCTCATCGTAAGGTACGGTACACACTCAAGTGCAACTATAGACCGGAAAACGATTCCAACCAAGTGAGGCCAGAATGGTTTGCCGAGGGTTTTCCCTTTTGTAAGTTCATCGCCCAAAGGCCCTTCGTGTGAAGGGGGGGCGATATCTCTGTTTCAGCGAGCTGGGTGTCGCAGGTAAAACATCGACATTTGTCATGAACCGGGATGTTATCTCTGAAGAGGGACGACGTGTCGCTGTCCAGAAAGTCACGAACGTTTCAATCCCAGCAGCTGCCCAAAGCCTGGCGGCTATTAGTAATGCCCCTCTGAAGTTCATTCTCGTTACGCGATATAACATGTGTCTCGTTGCCTCCATAATTGTTACTCGGCATCAGGGAGACGTCAATGCCCCCTTTACATCAAGGAGGAACAGTCATCGCAGTTTTATCCCTCCTGCAGCCGCGACCGATACACCGACACGTGTTTCGTAAGCTGGAGGAGCGAGAGGGTCGGTCGAAGGTGTTTGCACGCCCCCTCGGGCTTTGGGAAGAGACGAAACGGCTGCGAGAAGTGTACCCTCTCTCGACCAATGTTCTCGTCACTCTCCTGGGGTTCTCTAGGAAGTTGGGCGGTGCTCTTGATGTGTTGCGGGTGAGTTTTGACGTTGATTCCTTCGGTCGCGTAGGTTTCTCCGACATACAATACACACAGCTGTGTCAACAGATTTCATCTGCTGCCTGCTGCGGGAAACCATGGTCGACATGGTTGAGCAGTTGAGCAGTACATTGAACTGATTAGTGCACTTGTGTCGTATTCTTTGGGTGTGTATTCGTATGTCACCCCACTATTCTGGCACCTGACAAACTTTGCCCGTACTGGTGTATTTTTCTGTGGTGATCTATCTGCCATTGCGTGTGGTACTTTCGTTTTGTTTGTTGTATCATGCTACACAGCTGTGGAAAATACGGGTCGACCAAAACGTGTTTTGATAGATTTAAACATATCGCCGATTTTGATGCCCTGCTAGAAACCGAAAGACCCCTGACTTTTCCTGGCCCGAATTTGTATGCTTTGCTTGTGGATTCTCCCCTTCTCCGGGTTTCTTTAGGACGTGGCAGCCATGGAACCTCTCTTCTCGCCGGAGGATGAAAAGTCTCTTTTACCGAGAGAACTGCACACCAACCAGCAGGAGCACCACCGGCCGTACGACCGTCACTCGGTCCATATGATCACGCAATACTACGTACCCGAGGATCCCCACCGTGCTCGCGAGGTTGGCCTCACAGATGCTATGTTTCTTGCAGCATGTTGTAGATCAATCCACCCTCACACAGGGCTTGAACGGTCCATAGTGACTTGATGATGTCGTTTTGCTCTAAAGTATTGTAGTTTCCCTTCAGCGGTACGACGACCACGGTACTCCTACCAATGTGATAGCCTTAGCCAAAACGACGTGTGAATCCTGCGGAACCTAACCGTACGGACCATGTATGCTTTCGAATGTGTCGCCTGCCCGCTTCATAATTGTTACCGCTTTATGAGAAACTGCGTCGACGTAAATTGCACCCAGCCGTCATTATGTCCCCAAGATAGAGACTCTGCTATTGCTATCGATATCGTTATCGCTCACCCGTCCCGTGTCCCACCCCTTCCATGTTCCGGGCTCTCTCTTGATGTTTCTTCATGGGGATGCAGATTGATGTGTGCTTGTTGCGCAATGTTCAGAACCCTCTCATTGGGACGGTTCACATTTTCACAGACCACCCGGACGCGGTACGGCAACCCCGCGCAACCACGGGGACCATCTTGGAGTCACGGTCATCTGCCGAAACCTCACAACATGGTCCGTCTCTCCATCGCCACAACAATGAACGTGGAAGCCATGACACGGACACCTCCTGGGCAGAAACCGACTGGAGACCGCCGGTTTTAAGAGGGCTCAACACTACGCTAGCGGGTGAGAGGGAGCGGCGTTGGCACGTTTGGGGTTAGGTGAAAGTGGAAGGTGGCTTGAGTAAAGCGTGAGCCTCACAGACGTGCTGTTGGAAGAAAACCGCATAACCAAATGCCCGGGGAACGGTATGTTTCTTGTATGAGGTTGCCAATCGCCACATTATTGCGTAATTGGGTGCCCGTCGCTGGACAACAAGGAAGGGGAAGCTAAGTCGGGTTGAGGTTGCTCTTTTCTCCGGATTAATCCAGCGAAACGAACTTCCTTGCCAAGGGGTGATCAAATGCAGAGATTGTTACAGCATCGTCACCCACGGAATGGCGACGCAAGTTTCCTGCACAGAACAGAGCCGAAAAACGCTGTCACTAGAAACTTCATCCGTGCTTCAGCATCTAGCTTTGCGTTCGAAAGGCGACAAGTGCGCCCTGGTGATGGTTGTCTCGGCTGACGGGTTTGGTCTGGCAAGATGAGGCGAGCTTGCCGTACGTCGTCGACGATGTCGCGTAACATTTTCCGCTCACAATCTGCTATTCCCGGTTATCGACGAGAGTCAGCAAGCGACACTTTGCGCTTGTTTCGGAATGACCTATCACCCAGGAAAGTGGGCGAACAGGATGTGGTTTACTGAGTTTCCGGCGGACGTGTGGAATACGCGCATTTCGTCATTGAAGCGCAGGCCACTTCCTGCCTCAATCGACGGTATCGTCCGTGAAAGGAGATTGTCACGTTGAAATCTGAGACCTTCCCACCTGTCCTCGATAATCTTCTCATGCGCGCGCTCTCTCTCTGTCGTTGCCGTGCGCTGTTGCGTCCGCCTAGGGAAAGTACGGGTAGTGAGTACGTTGAATGACCGACGGATGACGTTCCGAGATGCGTTTCGATACTCCAACGTAGTCCTCGATGGCCAGGTAAGATCATACCAGAAAATGTATCCACGGTGTCAAGGGCGGAGGTCTCCCGCTTCTTCACAAGGTTCGCGTCCTTGTTCTGGCCACGGGCTGAAGTTTCCCGAAACATGCCAGTCGCAAAATCAACCACAGCCACTAAAGAACTCCACGTTGCGGCCTGCTTTACACGAAAAATAACACGTTTACATGTACGAGATATGTTAGCCCCGTGCTGGGGTTCCAATCAATAATGAGGATTGCGCATATTAGAGCGAACTGTTCGAAACTTGCCGCTCCTCAAGACGGGGGGGGGGTTCTCATAGTCGTGCATGCCGTAGTCGTTAGACCGTCGACCTCGCATCCCTACAAAGCCGGGACGGAGCACGCCGGGTTCTCACCGGACCAGGCTCTCACATCACCAAGCGCGAAGCGCCGTGAGGTATTCGGCGAGTCGCATGAAGGGTGCGCTGCATCCTGCTAAGGGTGTTAGGCATCTTGTGCTTACTTCCTTGCATATGGATGACAGCTGCGTATGGCTAAATTTATTTTCTGGTGCTTTCACTTCCAGAGACAGTTGTAAGCACTGTGTAACTGCATCGAGGGTGCTTGACCATTTTAACACAACGTGGTGCGACCATCCCCCTTGCGCGGAGTGAGGGTTCTCCACCCCGCACAACATGACCTACTCGACCACCATTATGGATACCGCCAACACAAAACAGAGGTAAAAAAAAAAAAACGGCAACCTGGTTGCCAAGTTCACGAAGTGAATTGGCTTTTTTTACGACGTCGTTGCCAAGCGACGAAAACCCAATCCCGATGTCAAACACCGAGGCGGAGGGGGGGGGGATCAACAATTCTTGGCCATCTTGAAGAGGCACAAAATTATTGTCTCGCCGTCGTACAGGCCCTACCTCAAACATCCTTGTTTATGTTTGAAACTGGTGGCCGTATGTTAGCGTGGCTCTCCCCTTGGTCTGGCAGGGTTTACCTTCACATGTATCTATACTGCCAAGCCGAAGTAGCACAAACATTGCCAAGATATCAATTTGTGAAGTCGTATTCCGGCTATTGAAGCAACAAGTTATTCTGTCGAACTTGGTGCGGCGGCACAGGTGGTGCTGCTGTCGAACTCAGACATCATGTTCGACGAATCTCTGGCAAGACTGGGAGACCCCTCGACTCTGGACATGGCCAATAAGGTAGATGTACGTCAATGGGCCGTTGGGCACGTTCAAGAATCGCGGGAAACGAGTTATTTGCGATTTTGAGACTCTCTTGGGAGGAACTGGCGAAACCCGTCCACTGCGATGGCTCCACGTACAACAACTTGTGCTGAGGAGAAAATATTTTGGTTGAAGAATGTGTCAAGTGACGTCGTTGTCGGTACTTCGCATTCGAAAGATTGGATGGTGTGGTTGCAACGTAGCGAACACGAGTCAATGCGAAGAGAGAAAAATCATGGGCGTGATCAGCGATACTGCGAATCTCCACCCGCCTCTTCTTGTAGGTATTCGCCTTGGCCGTATGGCAGAACCATCCAAGAGAGGGGCCTGGCGATGATTATCCCAACACTGACCATGGCGAACCCAATATCGAAGATCCCGGCGCGACGTATGGTACCATGATTGGAGACCTCGAGTTCACACCGAGAACAGACAGCCAGGATTCCTGGATATTCCGATCTCCGTTACCGCCCGCAGTCGCTGATGCCGCCAGTTTTGAGATGGGCAGGCCACGGTACGTCGCTCGACTAAATTTGTTGTGCAGAGGTTGACCAGTGTGTGAGATGTGCGGCTCAAGGTTAGCACATCATTTGGGTAATCGACATTCACCTTATTTATGGCCGCGATTGCATGAATTGTATCGCATGCTTGAGCATGAAATGGGCGACATGGGGAGGTTGACATCGAAGTTGGCATCACCAACAGTTTCAATATTCCGTAGAATTTTAGAAGATATGTTGGTGCATGTTGGTGCTCTCGTCACGATTCTTGCGCTGAATAGCTGCGACCCTCGCTTTGGACCCTCGAAAGCCTAGCTTTTCAACACAGTTTCTCATGGAAAGCTGATAATCTAGACGAATGCCCTCCGCCCGTACATAGGATTGCCAACAGTTTTCGCCCAGCGCACCTAGAATTTCTCGTCAGCATTTTTTCATGTCTCGCACGTGTCTGGCCCGAAAGCTTGAACCACCGTTGTTTGGCACTGTCGAAAAGTAGACGTGCGGGCAGATCTACAGCTCTAACGGCCTTTGCCCCAAGCTCTCGAGCACCGCTTTTCCTTGCTCAAAGGTTGTGTTATGCTGGCGTTGTAGATTGGAACTCTTTTTGCGACTCCAAATGGAGTACACTTACATTTACAACAATGAAGACCAGCCAAGAGAAACAGATTGATATCCAGTACCTGCAACCAACAGCAAAATCTGTGCCTCTTAGCTCGTTGTTTGTTGCCAAGCGAGGATGGTTTGTCGTCCAATAGCCAGGAGAAATTCTGTCTAACGTGTCTACACCACGATAGTCGTTAACGCGTATGTTTTTCGTTTTCGCCAGGTGCGATGGACGACTCGCCCAAGTGCTGATAGATGCCGGTTATGGCGTTACTAGCCCCAGCCTGGCCCTTGTTACCCGTCACGTCCACGGACCCACCAGGCGAGGATACAATATTATGTCGACAACATTTTCCGATGCAAACTTTACTGTAAACACCTACTGTGGTAGCGACACATCCTGATATTTGCTTTCTTTCGACCCTCGCATGGTGCGGTTCTCCCCTTGCTTCCCGATTTGTAATTTTCTCAGATACCGCCCATCGATGCATGACAGAGGTCTGCCTGCGAACGACACGCTACCACCGCCATCACATTCGGGGTGGTACCGAATGGACACTCAAGTCCCCGGGGCTACAGCCTCCGTACCCATATCAGATCAGTGGTTGTTTTAACAAGTTGCATAGCCATTCACTGCGCTGAGGAAGGCGAATGCAATGCTCAACAGCACGGATCCCTCTCCTAATGGCAAGTCCAGGACTTCACGGCTTGTCTGTAGACACGATTCCACCGTCAGCTGTGGAATCGTGAATCTTGTTTGTTTCGGTAAATGTGTATGACGTAGACTATGAGAAAAGGTTTCCGTTGCTCCTAGCGGAGTACGTTCTCTTGAAGACCGTACCGTGAGAGGAAAGTTGAGAACATGCCAATAGTTGCTGTTCCGCGTTCTATTCAAGTCTACTTGTACCGTGCACCCTTGCTCACCGCTTGAATCGTTATCGACATGTTGGTAACCCTGAAACGGGATCGGTTAATGGGCGGCGCCTCTCAATGGAGAAACGAAACTCGGAATCGATGTCAAATGCGGCGCAATGCGATATGGCGTGAATAAACGTGCTTCAATTAAACAGTGGCAACGGCGGCAGCTCGAGTATATACAACACGGGCCCGCATTTACGAAAAATTCCGTTCAGAACGTTAGGCTCAACTAGTAGACAATAATGTCTCCCAGTGGGGGAATGCCTGATATTGCTGCAACGCAGCCATATGTTGGCGCTTAATATACATCCTAATATACGTCTTACCCGGAATATCCTGCCGTATTTGCATATCCAGACAATGTGCAGACTCCCCACACTGTTCTCGAGTAATACGAACCGGTGATGAAACCCCAACCACACGCCTCTATCGGCGGCCACGTCAGGAGGCAATGATGAGATAATAATCTCCCGTACCCTTCTCACATTGAACGACATGCCATTACACAACAAGGTGAATAAATATGTTCTCCCGCGCCGCACATACCCCCATAAATCACACACAAAAAATATGTATATGACGAAAATAAAGTCTACAAACCCCAAGACGCGCTTGCTTCGCAACCACATAAGGGTGCCATGATAGAACACCCGACAACCGAGTTCCCCTAAATCTTTCGCCTACAACTTCCCAACATAACATAGATAGATACACAAGATGGTACCAAACTGCCTTGTTGAGCCTGTTACCCACAGGGGAGATATCGTTGTACGCTGTCTGGGAAACCGTAGACATACAGGTAGCCTTTCGCTCACGCTATGGATTCATTGCTAATCTCTCTTAGACTTATTTCTATAGATAGAGATGGATTTTTTGTGTAATATTAAGAAGAAAAAAAAAAAAACACTAAGAAACACAGCTCAATCTCGGCCACAACATAAGAAACGCCCCAATAAGAAACATGATGGTGCGATGCCGCAATACGAACAAGGGTTGCTAGGGGAGCGAGCGTGGATGAAGCCGCGGCCGTTGGGGCGTGGGTGTTGCTAGAGATGAAGCGGGAGGAGGGAGTTCAGGAAGTCCCGGAGGGCGACAACCCCCAACGTTCGCCACACCGAGCGTTTTCTGGTTAATAATGAATGCTGCATGAATGTTTGGTGTGTTGTGTATTGTTGTATTCTTGGCCAGAATCAAGAAAACAAGCAAGAAGAGAATCACGTGGATGCGACAGTCCAAAGGAATAAGAAGTGTCTTAGAAAACGGACGACTTCTGTTGGTCCTTCGACCTAAAATATGGGATTGAGCCTCGACCCGATTTTGACGTTTCGTATCTCCGGGCCCGTACTGTATTGATAATGTACACTAGCCGAACACCAGTTGGAACAACCAGCTACGAAATAGCAACGCGATTTTGCCGACCACAACGCAGCCATCGTGCAGCATGCGTCATGTTCGCCGCGTGCCACCCTCCATCACAGCCGATGACGGGGGCGTCTCCAACCCATAACCAAGTATGTAAATGTATCCCATGAGCTGCCTCGACCTCCACTAGATGAGGCTACATGTGCCCTCTATAGTAGTCAGATCAACTGCTCTTCTGTGTCGTGGCGGCTTCCGTACGGCAACTGCTTCGTCAAGGACAATGTGAATGAGGACTACGGGTGCGTCCTATGGCGGTGATTTGTACTCCGATCGATGTCTCCTCGAGACTCCCACCTGCACGAGTAGCTAACCCAGCCTCGCGAGAACAGGACGACCAGAGGAAACGAACGAAGCAAGGCGTTCTGCCGATATGATCAACTGTTCTGAACAAGGCTTCGCTACATACACGGTATTTTCCATCCGCTGTGTAAAAAGAGGGTCTTGAGGTATGTCTCGATGCCATACTCCGCGGCGTTGATCAAGGCTCTGCCTGAGTCGAGCACCCCGGCGTTCGTCTAACGGCGTCGTCAATGATTGGTCAGTACAGTAGAACGGGCCCGGAGATAAGAAACGTCAAAATAAGGTCGAGCCTCAATTTGCCATTCTGGGCAGAAGGACCGGCCGAAGTCGTTTTTTCCAAAAACGGATTTCTTGGTCACAAGACACAGCAGTATCGCAAGACACGTGCCTCCCTTGCCCGTGGCGAACGTTGGAAGGGCGCGAAACACGTTTTTCTAGGACTACATGTTCAGTCTACAGCAGTAGTCAGTATGATCCGAACAAGCTGTATCTATCTGTGTGGTAGCTTGCCTCGGTTGATTCAAAGTGGGGCATTGATCTTGCTAGTTTCTGAACAGGGGATAGGGCGGGAGGAGAAGCTCCTGCGTCTGGAAAGCGTGAAACGATGGACAACCCGTGCACGAGAGATCGCTGGCGGTGCCGCACACGGCTGTGTGGAGAGCAACGCCCATTGGGCAAATCTGAACCATAAAATGGTATAGAAACCCCGGGAACACGTCGTTCACATCCCCGGTTGTCAGGCGTAGTTTGCTTGGCACAGCCGCAAGGACCGTTTCTCTGTTTCTGCTGGCGACGAGGCGCGCAGGTGACTCTCGTTGTTGCTTCCGGTAGCTACTCTCTACCAGTGCACCAGTATCGCCGCCAGACAACTCATCCTCCGCAGGTGATTTGCGAGATTGTCGTTCAGTGGGTGCAGCACATGTGGGTCGCTCTCACCTCCCGTTAGCACCTCCCTCCTCGGTAACCAACCAGCAGGGCGCTGTCCGCTGTCGCTCCTATTTGCCTTCCGGTGACACGGTTGATGAAGCATCTGAAGTGGCTCTCGCAGTTGTATGACGACGGTGTACTGCGTAGGATCTCATCGTGCGACGTTATTGGGCGTCGACGAGCGGTTACCATGCCTGTTACTCTCGCTGCTCTCCTCAGCTAATCGGTTTGCTCTTTGCGAGCACAACCCGCGCCAGCAGCCGCACACTTGTGACCATGCGATACGGCACGAAGCATAGATACTTTCCCATGTTCTCTCTGACAGGCGGGCGAGTGCATTTTTCATCTGACCGGTGATGTACTGCTGTAGTTGGGAGTGTACACACAGCCACAGCTGTCCCGTCTCGCGTGCTATTTGACTTTTGACACATGTTGGCGGTTTATTCATGCTGGTGCTGCAACTTGCGGCGGAATTTCGATCCTGGTCATAGCATAGGTATCCTGGTGGTGGTAGTAGGACGGCTGCAAGTTGCAGCAGGACTCGTTTCGTGCCACAAGGTGTCTATCTAGCGGCGGGACCTGCTGCTACATGCAGTTGGGTTGAATGGGGCGGTTGGAAATGCAGGTGCTATGTTATGGACATACGCATGCATATGTACACTTGGTATGCGATGCAGAAGACGGTAGATTTTCTTAAGCGGCGAACACACCGCGAAGCATGCAACAACGGTCTCGTCACAGCGTCACAGCGCCAGCTTTGACAGAGCAGCCACCCGTTCGTCATAAATATCAAATCGCAGACGTGACTGCAGAACCCATCACTCACGCACCCCGGCTCGTAACCCAAAAATTGCGTGCAGGTATAATGGTTGTTTGTTGTCGAAGTGCCGCTGTGGCGGTAGTTGGCTTGGTGAGCTACACTACCCGGGCGTTTGTCATCCCGCCGTCGTCTAGCGCCCTTTTCTCGAGGACCTCGGCTGCCGCGAATGCCGGTGCCGGCCGGACCGGCAAGGCTTCTTCTTTAAGGTCTAGATCTTCTCTTCGAATGGACGCCTCAGCAGGTGATGGTGGTTTTGGTGAGTTGTTGTTAGGACAGCAGCAGCAGTTGTGGGCCGGTCTGTGCACGGCGAAGCGACCGGCGCTTTTGAGGGGGACCGCCGGCAAGAATCGTGCGGTAGTGCATAAAATGCTTGGTGATTTAGTGTGTGCCCGGCAAATGGTTTCACCAGCCCTTATTCAGGGCCACCGGCTTTGTTCAGCCGGCGTTGTAGAGGGCCCGCTCCTTTACAGGGTTGGAGCTATGGTTGGGGTCGATTTTGTTTCAAAGATTAGTGTGCTGCGTTGGTCTGGCGAAGAAAATCGAGGTTGTCCGTGGCTGTCCTTTACCCTCAAGGGGTGTGTTCTGGGCAAAAATCCGTCACCACGGGAGGAAATATCGCAGACCTTGCCCAAAGTAACGCAAGGTATTCAGCCGTGTTGTTTCCTGTATTGCTGAGTGTATATCATTTTTTTTATCCGCAAGCGATGTGGTAGGATGTGTACCAATACATCGCCTCTGTTACAGTACGTACTGATGTTATTTTTAACAAGCTTGAGGTGGACGGGTTTGTTCCGGTTGATCCCTCAGGGGAAGACGAGGAGGGTGGCGTGATCATGAACCGCTTCTCGAGCACCTTGACTCAGAGGAAGAGCCAGGGGGCATCGCAGGCGATGCTGTACGCCACAGGACTCACAACAGAAGACATGAACAAGGCGCAGGTATGAACAGCACTATATATTACGGGAGTCGGTGCGTGAAGCAGCTTGTTTATCGTCCTACGAAGTTGAAGGAGTTGCAGGGTGGCCGCTTGTACCTTGAGCCTGTTGTTACTATTCCCAGAGGGGAACATGCCAACGACACGCCCGCTGGCTGGGCGAAGGAACACAAGGCGGAGCCTCAGGCCGTGGCAAGCAGCGTTTATCGCACTACCCACACAGGATTCGTACCGACAAAACTGCCCAATATATTCTCACCAGAAGCTACTAACAATGTAGTCTTCTTTTTTTTTCAATTTGGCGATGAGATTGGTTGCGTGTGGGCTGTGTAGCCTTGCCAAAGTTGTGCAAATGGATGCACGTATGTTGCCGTCGTGCTGACCATGAACTGCCAATATGGCTGGCTTAAAACGCGTTGTGCCATGCATACGTTCGCAGGCTCGACGGGGATCCGAAACAGATGTTTCAAGCTTGACACGCTTTCGGGACGATGTTTTCGTGACGTCGTGTGCCTGTATGCTGCTGTTGTCTCCGCCAAGAGTCGTTCGCTTGTTAACCCACGCTTCTGACCCATGTCCACCCTCCCGATTTGTGCTTCATGATGGACGTTTTTGACGACTCAGGTGGGAGTCTCCAGCGTGTGGTTCGAAGGCAACCCGTGCAACATGCACCTGCTAGACCTGGCCAAGGAGGCCAAGGATGGCGTTACCGAGGCGGGGATGGTGGGCTACCGGTTCAACACCATCGGCGTGTCGGATGGTATCTCCATGGGCACCAGGGGTAAGCGTGCTGGCTCTGGTTGTACATCGATTGTCGGCTACACCAGGCTTTTATGAGTCAATGAATCTCCCTGATGATTGGTATATGTCCGTCCGCGTCTTCGTATTCGTTGGTTGTGGTTTGAGGTTTGTTGTTTTTGTTGACGCTGTGCTGTCCTCGCCCCGAGCGGTTGGCGAGGTACTGCAGAGGCATGTCTTGGGGCACCGGCTGCGAGAGCAGGCTGGTTTTCATATAGAACAATCGTGCTTGTGGGGCCTCAAGTGGCCAGGTCAATACTGTGTCACAGCTCCGAACGTATCGGAGTCAGTGCAGAGATGCCTGCCGCCTTTGGCGAGGACAACATGCCCCCTTCATAAGTCGGAATGAAGAAAGCGTTAGGCGCCCGCATGGCAATGAATCGCACATGATGGGCCCACCACGGTTGGGGTTGTTGGGCCCAAACACAACGCTTGGGATCTTGGGATGTGATGACAACAAAATATCGCTCTCCATGTATGCGATGTTCTTACGCGTTTGCGTTGTTGTAGTGTGTGTACGGTCTCGTAAAAATACCGGGGTAGTTCTTGTTTCCAAAGGTGAGTTTTCCGTTTCTCTCAGGCAAAGCAGTGAAACAGGGATGTAAAACTGTACCACGTTTTCGCGACACTTGGAGGTGTGCGACTGAAGTGAGTTTCATGCCGCTCAGAAAATCGCTGGGAGGCGGCTTTCATGGTGCGTTGCGTTTGAGTAGCACACGCGTGTGACCAACCACAACAATTGGTTTTGCTCACTGAAATAAACATGTGTGTCTCGTCCCAACACCATCGCCATCTTGACTCGACGGGCAGGCATGTCGTTCTCGTTGCAGTCACGAGACGTTATCGCCGATTCCATTGAGACGGTCATGGGGGGGCAGTGGTACGATGGCAACATCTCCATCCCCGGCTGCGACAAGAACATGCCGGGGTGTCTCATCGCCATGGGACGGGTCAACCGCCCTTCCATCATGGTGAGCGGATATCGATACCACCGCTAATGTTGCTACGCGGTTGGCAAATGTTGGGTATCCAATGTTGTATTCCTTGACTCTTGAGTCTTAGCTCGTGTCACAACTGCTGTGTACGGTGGGATAGCATGCACATCACTCGCATTGAAGTGTGTCAACCGTCCGATCCCACCAACACTTGCCTGTTCTGTTGCAGGTGTACGGGGGCACCATCCGTGCGGGCAAGGCAGCTGGCGAGTCTCTCGACATCGTCTCGGCCTTCCAGGCGTACGGGGAGTTTGCGTACGACAGGATCACCGAGGTGATTCTACGCATACGACAGTAGTGTCAATGACCTTGTTGTCGTCTTCCCCTGTTGCTGTGGCTGCTGTTTTTCACACCAAGGAAAGTAGCTCTGTGTGGATAACAAGGCCCCATCTTCCGCAGGTAACCGCGGGAATCACATCATGAACGCTAGAGCAATCCCGTTTGTAAACGTTTGTTTCGGTGTCTTCTGCGCTAAATTTGCAGGAACAACGGCAGACGGTCGTGGAGAACGCTTGCCCCGGCCCAGGTGCCTGCGGAGGGATGTACACGGCTAACACCATGGCCAGCGCAATCGAGGTGAGTGCCTTTTGAGTCTCGCTGTTATTCACGGCTGGAGTTGGCTTACGGGGTTGGCCCTTACTCTTCGCGTGCCTGCAGCGGAGGAGGAGTGTGCCGATCGCCAAAAACACAACGAACGGTCAGCGCAATCGAAGTTACTGGATGGAGAGTGAACGATTGTGACCCAAGCGTGTGGCGTTTTTTCCGGTGGAGGTACTGTAACGTGCACGCCTCACACCTCACACCACTCACCGCTCAACAGTAGATTCGAGATATGTGAGACACACCGGTGTTGCTGTTGCACTACAAGTCTGTGCGTGAGAATACCTAGGGTAACCTCTGTTGCTGATTTTGTGTTGTGTTTTGTTGGGTTTGGTCCCAGGAAACCGACCATGACAAACCTCAGTGGGCACTGCTTTACCTGACACCTATAAGCTTGCCGCCTCCTTGCTGCTGCAACGCTGCCGAAAGCGTCAGGAAAAACGAATCTTGCCGTCATAAATGTAGTCGTCCATGGCACGATTATTTCCGCCACAACGATGCTTGTGCCTACCATCACAACAGTAGTGGTGCTCGGTTGCAAACCTACAGACGGCAGCGTTTTTCTTTTTGTTCATATCTTCCTCCAGTGTACTGCAGAGTACGTTGGTTGAGCGAGTCGTAGCCTTCGCACTATGTTGGAGGCGTGTCCTTGGCTCCATTATTTCGCGGGGGAAAGTTGTTGCACTTTGACGGGAAAGGGGGGACTTGTTCATGGACCCCGAACCCGGTATATTGACACGGGAAGCACCTGAATACTCACACAATGCCATCTACCTGTAGCATCCAGTGTAGATGTGTGTCTCCCTTACCCCCCCACACACATGCGGGTGTTTGCTGCGTGTATTTGCCTTGGTGTTGCTCCAGCTGTTGTTTTTGCATCCAAGTCCTTCCCGGTCCAGCTGACGCGGACGCCTTCCGTGTTCACAGGCAACACCTCCCGACAATGGGCACACACTTGGAGAGCAAAAACAAAATACTGCCACACAAGAAATCGCCTGGTCCGATCGATGAGGACCGGTTATACGTTCCATGCAGCGGAGGAAAGCACGGGGAACCCACGTTGCCTTGAACGACCCGCTCGTTTCGTCTCTAATTCGCGGAACCTGCTGTTCTTTTGGGTACATTCTTACGCCTAGGCTCTGGGAATGTCCCTGCCGTACTCTAGCTCCACCCCTGCTGACGACCCGATGAAGAAGGACGAGTGCCACAGGGCAGCACAGGCGGTCCGCAACATGTTGGAAAAGGTGAGATGTGAGATTTTGTCGGGTAAGGTGTCGTTCAAAGGACATTGCGCGACGATTACCTTATCGCAGGTGTCGACGAACACACGTGTGCGTACCTAGCTTTGCGAAACAACCCGACAAGTAAAGCCGTTTCACACGCTGTTCCCGCCTCGAAATCGCGCGCACAGAAGGGCTTGTTCCCTCTGATAGGCGGGCTTTGTGCCGGTGATCCTTTGCAACGAACATGTTCCCCGTGACTAACGTTCAATACGGTGGCGAATGTGATATCACAACCCGACATAGCACAAAACCGCGGCGGATGTTGCACTGAAAAAGAGACCGTTTCATGAACCAACGTTGGTGATGGAAGTGGGAAGCGTTGTCGGGTTGTTCTGGAGTCCGCTAAAAGGGGGTGATGCCCATTGTTCGGTTGGGTTCTGATATGTCAAGTATCGAGATCAATCAATCATCGTGGTACGTTGTTTTGGGGTTGTATCCCTTCAATGTCAATGTCGTTCCGCAGCACTACAGTACCGGGATGATCGAACCGGCCTTGCACTTTTTGTTTTCTTTCACAAAGTCATCAATGTTGCCCTTGACACAAGGGGGAGAGAGAGAAACCACACTGACAGAACGTGTTTCCCGCAGACACCCTCTGCGCCTATATTACCGTGGCTCTATCCATCAGTACAATAGTCTCCGAGAAATCGACCACTCCGAAGGGATCGTCCAAATTTGATACTACTGTACCCCAAAATACAGGAACAAAACGCCAATGGCAAAATCGACGGTTTCAACAAACAGTAGTCTGCATCGGATGTCTGCCTGTGCAAACTCGCTCGTTGTACGGAGGCAATGCTTACAAATTCGATTCTCGTACATGCTGGAGAAGCTTCGTGCGTCGTGTTGCACCTCTTGTTCCCACTTTCTTTCACTGTTGTCCGACAGGGCCGAGCCGATATCGCGACTCGCGATCGCACGATCGCACCCGTGGTCCGGCCAATAACAGCTGAGTCATTTTAGCCACACGGTGTCTCATACCGTCGATTTCGTCTCGCCGTGCATGTGCGTGGTTGCTATTGTTGTCGCAGGACCTCAAGCCGAAGGACATCGTCACCCGTGCTTCCTTCGAGAACGCGATCGTCACCGTCATGGCCCTCGGGGGCTCCACTAACGCCGTGCTTCACCTCATCGCCATGGCCAGAGCCTTCGACATCGAGCTCGACATCGACGACTTCCAGACCGTGAGTGCCGTACAGTAGCCGTGACCACCATGCCCCGCCTTAGATGCCGCGACCGTACTGCTGTACTATCCGGCAGTGTCTTTGCTGCGACAGTGAACGTTGTAGTGAAATCCCGGGGTCTCCAGCATGAACAAAAGGATACACGGATGAACATGCTCAGGCTTGGTAACACCCAGAAGGAACTCAACATCATGGCAAACTCCGTGCATGCTACGCTCATGGTCGTTGATATGTCCTCCTTGGTTTCTTTTCAACCTGTGGCATGCACTCTCGACCGCGATCGATGCCCAATACCTCCCACCCCTCCCCTAAGTATGCACACGAGTGATGATCGTACGTTTGGACCAGCTACGCTTGCTCTCCCATTGGTACTGCAGCGGGTAGCACACTCGAGTATTACTGTTGCCCAGGGAGGGGGGGGGGGGGGGGGGGGG